CAGGATGCTGCATGGAGGTCTTGGAAGACTGAGTCTTCTCTGTGCTGATCCTCCCACGTGAAGTAGACATCACCCAAGGATAGATGAAATCATTTTTAGGAGCACTCTGAGCATGCTGCACATAGTAGGCCATCAGTTACTCACTAATCATTGACTCTGACTCTGAACCAGAAAAAGAAAGTTAATCTTAGAGAGCCCAATAGAATTACTCAAGGTCATATAGCTAATCAGGTTCATGGCTATGACTAGAGCCCAAAGTTAATGACTTTTTCACTAAATTAGATCCAAGAATCTTTAGTGGTAAAAAAAAAAAAAGAACTGCAAAGGACAACTTTGTTATCTGTTCAGATATATAATTCGTACTGTTTCTTCCCAGCTTCTAGCCACAGGAGGGGAAAAAAATGTCTAAAAATATGTGATGGTACCAATTTCTTCTTTTTGATATGGGTAATTAACAGCTGAAAACAAAGCTGTTAATTGCCACTCTTATCAATGGGTGGTCTTTCTGTAGGTTGTTTAGATGTGAAAAGAAATGAAGTCACAGAAGCTCTTGTTTGTTCCTTGCCTAGCCAAGTCAGCCTGGTTGGTTTATTCTGAGAGAGTGCTGGAGAGCTCTGGGCAGTGGAGACAACAGAGTGGACCTTGGTTTCTCCCAGATACTTCCCACTGACCCATGAGGTGGGCGCACACTTTTCCCCAGCATTTATCATGGCCATCAGAGGTCAAATAGCCTTTTCTTTTGGGCCTTTAAAATTGATTAACTCAGTTGGGATCCAGAAGGTAGTACAACAATAAAACGCCATACCCTCCTACCCACATGGGAGGGTTTTGAGTTCTCATCTGGAGACCTCCCTGAGTAACCTGGGCATATTACTGAACTCAAATCAGGTTCACTTGCCCAAGCACTATAAAACCAAATCATAGGTTCATGGTGTGATGAAGGAGAAAGTACAGCTTTATTGCAAAGCGCAAAGCAAGGAGCGTGGGCAGCACATGCTGAAAAGACCTGGTCTCCCCGAGATGTTCCCCATGTGTGTTTTTTTTTTGTTTTTTATTTTTTTTGCTATAGGGTGCGTGCGCTTGCCAGACAGACAGAGACAGACAGAGAGATAGAAAGCGAGAAATCACCTCCCAGGGGGCATGGCCACGCCGCAATCCCTTCTCCTCCATTCTCCTCTTGGGATCTTGGACACGCACGCACATGCGCCCGGCGTGAGTTTTAAGCCACCAGGTCCGGGACACGAACCACGCTTGGCTACATGGTAGTCCAGCGACATAGCCATTACGTTAACTGCTGCCCCCCACCCCCACCCCCATCCATTTTTAAGGGCAAATTAGAGGCAGAGGTCCCAGGCGCATTGGTTCAAGAGGGCGTGATCATCTTCTGAGCATTCTTGATTGGTGAGGCCTTAGATAATCAAATTCCTCTTCAGGTTTCTGGAGCCATTCAGCCTGGAGTCTTTGAGCTCACAACCAGCAGTTTCCAGACTACAAAATATCTTACATATTGAAATGAAAACCTTATCTTTTCTTTAAGTGAGAGTTTTAGAAGTCAAATGGCCCTCATTCATGGTCCATGTTGGTTATTATCATAACCAAAGTCTGAAGACTCACTCTTACTTTTGGCCATTACAATGTAAATGGACTTTATATTTCAAGAACCTTAGAAAATACATTGGGGGGCCTTGCTTGGTTTCAGGCATAGTGCTGTGGACAGAAGTTTGACTACTTTTTCCTATTTTTCCAAAGTCTTTTCCAGAGGGCCTAGGGGGAGTCATGCCCACAAACAATTTTTTTCCATTAACAGGATTCTTCCTACATCCTGTCCCTGGCATAGTATCTTTGAGATGTATATTTTCAACCAAATATAATATTCTTTTGCTTATCTCTTCCCAAGACACAGACCTTCCCTTTCCTTGAGATGTAGATTAAGCATTTCTTTTCTTTTCTTTTCTTTCTTTTTTTTTTTTTTTGGAGAAGTTTTTTCTATAGGGCACATGTGCTCACCAGAAAGACAGAGAGAGACAGAGAGACAGAAAGCAAGAAATCACCCCCCCCCAGGGGGGATGGCCACTGCAATCCCTTCTCCTCCATTCTCCTCTTGGGATCTTGGGCACACAGGCACACGCACCTGGCGTGATTTTAAGCCACTGGATCTGGGACTTGAACCGTGGTCAACTACATGGGAGTTCAGTGACTGCTGGACCTGATTAAGCATTTCTTTTACGAATCTTTTCCCAAGAGATAGATCTTCCTTTCCAATCACCAACCTAAAAATTGTGGAATCCACTTATAACCTACAAGCTCCTGCATCCCCATGTCCTGCCTTTTTGGGCCAGACCAATGGAATTTCTTCATTAACTTTGTCTGTCACTCTCAAAAAATCAAATAAAAGGAACCCCTGTACCTGATCACCCGGAGAAAGGCATGTTTGCCTCATCTCAGGGCCTAGGTCACTCATATTCTGCTTAGAAATAAAACACATTAATTATAAATTATTAATTTTTTGGAATTCGTTATTCTCTGTCAACAGTGCCCATGATTCAGGCTGGCTGAAGCTGGGGGTGGATTGCAGCACTGAGACTTTTTGGGTGTTGTCTTTCTGTCTCTTCCTTGCTCTTGGAAGAAATAAGTAAATAAACTTAAAAAAAGTAAAAGGGTGGGACAGGGCCAGCTGCAGCCTGGTGGTTAAGGTGACTGGATCCCACATGGCCAACTGCCTGGTTTAAGTCTCAGACCTGGTGGTTTGAAACACATTTCAGGCAGATGTGCATGCATACCCAAAATCTCAAAAGGAGGGCAACATAGAGGAGAAGGGACCATAGTGTGGCCATGCACTGTGTGTGTGTGAACTACATGTTCTAGATTCTCTTTAACTTGCATGTTCTGTAATATTCTCTAAGTCCTTAAAAAGTGCCACAAACAAAGCAGACCTCATCCTTCCCCTTCATTAGCTCAGAGTGAAATAGAATTTATAGCTTCACTTTTTCTTCTTTTTTTTAAGAGTAATTTTATTTAACTTTATTTATTTAAATTTTACCAGGGTGGGAGAGAAGGTGAGAAAGGAAGACTCCAGGTCCAAGACTTGAGCCATGTGGGAGTTCAGAGCCCTAACCGCCACGCCACCTGGCAGTCCCACAGCTTCACTTTTTCTTGATAGGAAAACTAATTACTCTAGTTCTCTCATTTGAAAAGCTGGGGTGACACCTACCTTAGAGAGCTATCTTTAAGATATGAATAATGTAGAAACAAATATACAACAACCATTTAAATACAGAATGGTACTTGGTATTATTAGCCCTGACTGAGTGGTTTCTATTGATACAGTTTCTTCAGCAACTGTGGAGGCATGTTAAGAGCCAAGCCCAGAGCACTCCTGTGCCCCTAGCCTTCCCCATCTGCCCAGTGATCACATCTGGATTTGTTTGGCCGGGTGCCTTGTGTTCATGTATCTGTGTGTCAGGAGCTGTTCTCTGTAGAGAGGAACTTGGTGTATGACCTTAACACAGCATCTGGTCTAGCTTGCCTGTCCAAAGAAATTGGCTTGTTTGAGCTGGTCAGTGCCAGGAGCTATCAGTGGGGTAGCCTCTGGTATAGCTTCTGAGTGACTTTGCTTTTAATATATACTCATTAAAATAACTCTGAAAGCAAAATAAAAAGCCATGTCCCTGTCTATCCTCCAGACTCAAGGTCTTTACCGCTTGGGGCAGAGACAGCCAGATGCCATGGCAGAGAAGAGGCCTCGTTTCCTTTCCTGTGTCCTCAGTCTTAGCCCACCCTCTTTGCCCTGTGTGACATCTCATCCCTCCTGCTCTTCTCCCTTAAGGCACATTCAGGTCCCCTGTCCTGAAAACTACCTCTTCGGGATCCTTGTACTTCTGTTTCCAAGGGGACAAACTGGAAAATACAAAGAGCATTGGGCTTAGTGTTAGGAAACCTGCACTCAAACCCTGTCTGTACCACTCACGGGGATCTGGAACTGATACGGTTTGAATGTGTCCCCCAAAGATTTGTGTGTTACAGTTTAGTTATATTGTGAAGGGATTAAGAGGGTGAAAACTTAAGGACGTTGCTATTGAGGCACGGTAACTGCTATGGCTTCCAGTGCTTTGGCAAAACCTCAGCTGTGAGGCCTTCTGACCAAGCGTCTGCGATTTCATATTGTTGGAGCACTCATTGTATCCGTGAGTGTTACAGCTTTCTATAAATTTGCTGTGGCTGAACCAAGAAAGAAGGCATATGCAGATTTCTACAGAAATTATGATTCCATGAAAGAGTTTGAAGAGATGAGGAAGGCTGGTATCTTTCAGAGTACAAAGTAATTTTGGAATGTAAAGAATGTCACTGGATTGGTGCCATGTTCCTGAAACATGAATACATGGGCTAAAGAATAGTTTCTCTTGATAAATAAACACTGTGGACAGTAAAAAAATAAAATAAAAAGAGGGTGAAAACTTAATCTGACTATGGTGTTGACATGCGGGGCCTTTGCGATTAGGATCACAGTGGGACCCCCATGATTGGCTCTTCGTGTGTGTGTAAGGAGACACAGACACATACACTCTTGCTCTGTCTCAGCATGTGATGCCTTGTGTGAGCACCCACCAGTAAGAAGACCTTTGCTACATGTGGTCCCTTGACCCTCAACTCCAAAAACCATGAGCTAAATAAACCTCTATTCTCTATAACTTACCTAGACTCAGGTATTTCTGTTATTAGCAACACGGGAGTGAAATAGTGACCTCTGGCAAGTCATGTGCTCTCTGAGCAGCCATTCTCTGCTGTTTGAGATAGACTTCTATTCCACCTAGCAGAGCCTTTGGTACCTAACAGGTACTGAGTAAGTGAGACTTTACCAGCTTTTGTGAGACTGTCATCCCAAGTCCTTTCTCTGTCCCCTGTCCCCAACCATAGTGGCTTCCAAATTCTGACTTGCTCACTATTTCCTGGTCCCCAACCATGATGCTTTTCAAAATCTGGCTTTCTTCTCTCCTGCTCAGGACCTCATCTATTCCAGCACAGTGGACATAGCCCGCAAGGTACTAATTGTCCTGCGGATCTTCCTGAGGAGGAATGAGGATGTCCAAGTAGGTGGTCTCATCCAGGGCCACTTCCTGCGGATGGTGCAGCGCCTC